GGAAAAATAAAGCTCTGGACGTAAATACAGTCATGGTGCTCTTTAGAAAGGAAGATGGCAATGTTTCATCTGGACACGTTATCAGAAGAGACTAATATCAGGAAACAGACAAAGTGCCTGGTAAAATAGAAGGTTTGCGATCAAAAGGAAGACCTTCCCAAACACAGATTGATACAGGGCTGCAACAATAGACTAAAACAGAAACCACTGTGAGAATGAAGCCAGACCAAGCAGTGTTTCCGTAGTGACATAGAATGTGTCACTCTGAGTTGGAACTGACTTGAAGGCACCTCACAACCACATTATGAAGCATCCACTGGCTTGACCGTGAGGCCATGCCACTTGCCTGGAACCAAGTGTCCATCAATACTAAGAGAGTGTTACAAGAGGAAGATTCAGATTATTTTGACCCTGCCAAGTGCACGTTTCTCAAGTAAGTTCATTATGTCAACTTCCCATTGTCTTCTTCGACTGGAGGTCAGTATTGGGTCAATAATACCAGGGATAATTGGAATTTTGCACATCCATAAAGGAATTGCCACTGTCAAACCAGATGGCATGTTTTGCTTCAGTGGAAGAAGTCATACGATTCAAATAGCTTTCCTTTGTGTAGCTCAAGAGATTCTATCAGTGTCTTGTAGTCAGAGAGGTGCTTGCCTCATGGTTCTGACAGAATTACTCCTCTTCACTTATGTCCAGCTATATCATTTTCACTTATCAAGAAACTTCGTTGTACTACCTTTTCTGAATGGGAAGCCTTTTTGTAAAAACCCACGACATGACAGTGTGCTCAGAACTATAGTGTGCTTCCCTTCAGAGTCCAGAAGCTGTAGGGGCTCTTTTTACTAGAGCTCTAGAAGATGACAGTAGATGGAGAGCCCTGGGGTCACAGTGCCTATGCTTTGGGCTGCTAACTGAGAGTTCATTAGTTCAGGACCAGCAGCTGCTTGGAAGGAGAAAAATTAGCCTTTTTATTCCCATAAAGAGTTAAGACTCACTTTGAGTCAGCATGGACTTAATGGTATAAGTTTGGTTTGAGTTTGGGCATTTAATATGGTACATCTGCTTACAGCATCAAAAAATCAAGAACCCTAGTGACCACCTTCAGGTGCCACTATTGACTTTTTCAAAAAGCTGGGGGCTACATGAGCGTACTAGTAGATATTACCACAATAATTGATAAAATGTACACATTTAAAGAAGTGCTTAGGCTATTGTGTGCCTCATATCTCTTATGAATTACATTTGTTTTCATTCAATTGATCTTTCTTTTCGTCTCTTTATACACAGGAGCCAGTAGGATACCTAAGTATACCTATCAAATTTCAAATAGATTTCTGAGCTGTTTTCTCAGAATATGGTCCAGAAAGGATACTAGTTGTCGTTTGTTTTTTGATTGATTGATTGTAAATTACCTCTACTAGCCTCAGCCCAGGTTATTTCCAGGCACTACAATTATTGGGAAGTACTCTGGATTTTAACTGGACTTATCAGTTACCTCTGCCTCATCACATGTGCCACTAGTTTTCCTTGATTTGCTCTGTTGAGAGCAAAACTCCCAAAGGACCCTTTGTAGCACAGTGTTTAAGAGCTTGACAGCTAACAAAATGCTTGGCTGTTAGATCCCACCACATGCGGTTGGGGAGAAAGATTTGGGAGACTTAACTTGACTGTCTTAGAAACCCTCGAGGCAGGCTACTCGGCCCTAGACAGTCACTGTAAGTTACCAGGGACTCCATGGCAAAGGATTTGATTTGATGAGTTTAAGCCATTTTCCCCTCCATTTCTCAAAATGATCACCATTTGCCAATCCACGATCCCAATGGTAGTGTTGATCCCCAAGTACTTGCAGAGTTTTGCTACTAAAAACCACAGCTGCACACTCGCACCAGCACTGTCCCACTGAGGTGTACACAGGCCCTGTCAGACATGGCGTGTGCATTGGAAGTCACTTCTGAGAGACGGGGACCCACCAAGGGGCAGTTTCTATTTGCCTTTGCAGTTTAGGCCACCATCTGTGAGGGACCTTCATCAATTTAAGATGGCTGCCTGCCGGTGCTATGGCCTGCATATATATGCTGCTCCTTGGTAATATGGAAACGATCTGAAAGCCAGATCGGCTTCTAACACCACCTCAGAGATTTCTGGTTCAAATTGGCAAGTGGACTAACTCGACAGAAACAACCCTTGAGCTAATATTAGATTCCCTTGGGTTGATAGGAGGATGCAAGGCAGGATACAAAGTAAGCACAGCATCTTCGTCTCCTCGGTAGACATGGTAGCTGTTCTAGAACTCTGCTTCTCTTGTCCTGTGTCAAGTAGCTGCCGAAGATCCAGGTCTGGACACAGAGGAAACATGGCCTTCCTTTCCCACCAAGCTTAGAGCCCATCAAGTGGGGTACCGCTACCCCAATGCAGTTGCAGTAAATAAGGATCCACACTCCCTCTTGAGCTTAATTGTACTATTTTCAAGAAAATGGTGCTGTAGGAATTACCGGTCATTGATAGCAGTCTTACAAGAGCCAATGTCCTATGTAAAAATCCTTTATTCACAGTTGGTTGTATGGAAACGTAGACATGTTCATTAAATGGACTCTCTCTGTTTCTAGTTGAGCAGCTGGGCTACAAAAATAGTGAAGTTTCCATAACAGACAGCTAACAGTTAGTCAATGGGTTCTGCTCTGCTAAGTAATGCATCACTTCACTGCTGTACGAAATGCAACCAAACGCTTTGCTGAATGCACCCCCTAAATGCAATTCAGGAACTTAGCATCTTTGTAGAACTAATATATCCATATCAAAATTGCAAAGAAACATTGAGAAATCGATATCTGACCTCATTTTGCGATGAACACTTTTAAACACAGGCTACTGTAAACGAAAAGCCTTTTTTATACTTCAATATTTAGCTTAAATGACCTACCGGGTGTCTTACGTTGTCACTCTGGAATGCAAACAGCATCATGAGCTACTAAATCATAAGGTTGCTATTTCAGTTCTTACATGTGAACACTATAAACCCTGATTTATCCTTTTTTAGGTAGATATTTATAGACAAGATCCACGCAAAGTATAAATTAGCCTTAAAATTTCCATGGAAACTAAAAAAGCACATTTTAAAAATGAAGATGTGCTTCAGAGTGCTAGAAAACCATTTCCAGTTCTTGAAAGACTACACAGTTTTAATCTGTGAGTTTTTATTTTAAAAATTCTTTCCCAATATTCAATTGTTTACACATTTTACAATTCAGAAAGTACCCAATAATTATATGCTTTGTTTTCTCAGGTGGGATATCCCTTATTCACGGTTTCTAAAATTCTAGTTAATGTATTGCGGCATTAATTTTGGCTATTTTCTCATTTTTATTTATTTATTTTGAGAACTTTTTTATTATTGAAAGATCATTTCATTGGTGGCTCTTCCATCTCTTATAACAATCCATACATCAGTTCTATCAAGCATATTTGCATATATGTTGCCATCATCATTTTCTAACCACTTACTTTCTATTGAGCCCTTAGTATCACCTCCTCTCTACCACCCCCCTCATGATCTCTTGATAAATTATAAATTACAATTGTTTCTGTTGCTCATCCCCCTTGGGGAAGTGGGGTGGTGGCAAGAATGGGCCGATCATTGTGAAGGGTTCCCTCTTCTTCCTCTCCTGTCCCCAGCTTCCCCCTACCCTCCTGGTATTGCTACTCCCATTCCTGTTCCTGGATTCTCCGTGTGTTGTGAGCGTCTTATCTCTCCTCTGTACCAGTGCACAAGCCCCCTAGCCCAGAGTGGAAGGTCAGACTGGGGTTATGATGGGGGGGGTGAGGAATCCTCAAGGAACCAGAGGAATAGTATGTGTTTCATCAGTGCTACACTGCACACTGATATGAAATGAAATTTCATTGAAGAATTACATTGAACATTGAACAATTACATTGTCGATTGAATAATTACTCTTCATGGAACAATTATATTCACAGACACTAATTAATTTTTCAACAGTTAAGAGTTAATTAAAAATCGCTATCAGATAATAGATATAACTTTATAAATGTTAGAGTTGTGTTCTACGCTCCTAATTTTAGCAACAACAGGTTTATTTAATCCATTCACTACCCCCTGCTGTTATTTAAATAAATGTATGGAATTATTCATAAGTAAATTTCATTATGCATTCAGTATCACCTTCTTTTATCATTACCCCATCTCACCTATCATGTTTAATAAAAATCTTGCATCATATTTTTAATTTCCTTTTCATTTCCATTCATGGATAGGCCTTTTCATTTGCCAAACTGAACACAGTATGATGATATTTTTAGAAGCACATATTTGTAATTTTAAAAGACATTAAAATTTATTTTAAACCATAAAATAGACTTCTCACAAAATTCACTCATAATTTCAACAAAAGCATTGTGCCTATATTTAAACCATATTATGTGAATGTCTTAAAAATCTTTTAAAAGTGTTCATATAAAACAGAATTAGTATATAAGATGAGGATATAAAAACAAACATTGTTACTGAGCTACACTGTATTCCAAGAAAGTAACTTAAAACTGTAGCCAAAAAAAATTTTTCCTTTATGAGATTTAAAAAATTCAGTCAATGATGGTGGTATGCGCTCCCTTTGAAATCACATTTGGACTCAAAATGTACAAAAGAAACAAGTAGGTGAACATATATGTCACAGTATCCCAATATACATTTTCCTCATTTTTATTTAGAATTTAGGGCATCATATGAACAAGACCAGAATTTTTAGCTTTTCCATTAAAACATATCATCTGAAAATTTCACATATATTAATAGGCATGTTCATATGGTGCAACAGGTTAATTGAATACAGTTTCAATAGGGGAAAAATAACTCATCCTCATATGTTTCAATTAGTTTCCATAAATAGTTTGTAGTAAAGTTCTGAAGCGATGGCTTTTAAAGGTTTGTTGACAAGCTCTATTCTGTTACTAAAGGCATCCTTGCATTTTTCTTGTGACAGGATGAGGAGGTAAGGGAAAGCCGATTCAGCTTCACAGCCTATGGAATGGGGCCGTGTATGCAAGCAAAAGACGGTCTGGCCCCAAAGGCCCCAAACCATCCTGTCCAGGTCATGCCAAAAAGCCCGGATGAAATGCGAAAAGTCTTTATTGACCGGGCCAAGAAGATTGACACGATCTCTCGAGCCTGCTTCCCATTAGCCTTTTTGATTTTCAATATTTTCTACTGGGTTATCTATAAAATTCTTAGGCATGAAGATATTCATCAACAACAAGATTAATTCTCTGGGGGCATGCACACAAGCTAATATGGTCAATCCTGAAGAAAGTTCATTTACCATAATTGTGTATGTATGAGTATACAAATGATCAATGTATTCAAACAGCAAAGGGAGAAGAGCTGTATTTTGATATGCTATGCAAAGTAATGAAACAGATTAAAATTATTTTAAGGGATCTAAAATAGATACATATTATGAGGATTCTATTTCATATTAACATAAGTAGAACTGTCTTTTTCCACAGAAAGTGATTTGAGTATAAGCTTTACTGCATATGTATTTGTGTGTTATATCATAAATAATAGATGTGAAAACAACTTTGGAATTCCTTGATTTTTAATTCACTGATTTTAAATATTTTAAAAGCAAAATTTTCACAGTAAAGCATATAGAAAGAAAAGCATTGAAGATAATAAAAATTAATAGCTGGAAACAAAATATTTTCTTACATTTTAGCTATGTAATCAGAAAATAATCAGTCAATTTGGTGAAACATTTACTCAATATTAATAGAGGCCTATACATACAATCACCATAGTAAGTAAAAAATTACATAATAAAAATTTCAACTAAAATATTTTTTAAAATTTTGTTTAGTGTACTAAGAACATTTTGGAAAAATAACTTAAATATTATATGTAAAATTTACTTTTCTTAAATTTCATGTCTCAATGAATTATGGTAGAAATATTGAAAATCTCAGAACTGTTTTTAAGTAAGTGTTATCACTATGTATTTTTAAATATTGGAAAACACTGAAACAAGCTAGCTTCTTTATATTTTGTTAGGTGTTAATAGTTGTTAATATATATACAATTATTCAGTCATTTAATATAATTAAAACAAAATAAGATAAGGCATATTTTAGGTAAGAGTGAGACTTTAAAATTGAAAGGAATTTACATTTTGATAAGTGAACTCAAAGAAAATAAAACAATGGATTCATGATTTTTTTTTTAAACAGGAACTATTTTCCCCTCAATGTCAGATGAGCTCAAACTCCTAGCTGCTAGTATGAGGGGAATTTTTTTTAATTCTAAGTTCTAAAAATAAATAAGTCCTTTTTATAAATTGTTTTTATATTTCTATATTAATGGCTTCAAAATACAAATCCTTCACTAGATGTGAATAATTTCAAATGAATTTTTTACTTCAAATCTATTGATGACCCCGTGGGATTATTTCAACTGCTTCCATGATTGGATTCTGGGTTAAATTGCTAGATTCTTTTTGAGTTTTGCTATATTTTGCATTGTTTTTACCATCAATCTTGTACTTAAGAAAACTCTAAAATATTTTCTAGATCATTTAGTTATTGGTTTGGATTCATTTATCTAACCATTCAAGAAAAAAAATTAAATACATAGGAAAAAAGTAACCTAAATTTAGATACAAATCATATGTCAATCTTGAACCAAATGGTATTGTTTTCTCAACATCAACCACTCTCAAACCAAAACTGCCATTTAAAATGAAAACCTCAATATTGCTACACTGTGGCTTATCTAATTGTAGTATTTTAAAATAACTTTTAATATGTATGTTTGATCCTTCTGCTGCTACAAGACCACATTCCCATACCTTTCCGTTGCAGTGAAACTTGTGAAACGAAGGGACTGCCTTAGTTTGTAAGACCTTTCCCGTGTACCACTTTTGACACTAGGCAGTCTGACTGTTCTAATGTCATCTACGGGTGGGAAAGAACTGAGTTTTACAGGCTCTGGCATTCACAGGTTTGACTGGAATGAAAAATGCAATAGTGTAAGTAAAATACCATCAAGTTTGGTATTGTGTGTAAATGACACAACTAAAAGAGGTTGTTTCTGTAGACTTTTTTGGTTGTTTTTGAGAACTCTACCCTCAGCAGTGCTTAACAAAAGACTAAACACTTTTGCAGACACGCATAAGTTTCTTCATTTGGTTTGGCGACATATTTTTGTATTGAACATTAGAACAAGCCATCTTGTTTGTGCTCGAAGATTAACGCAAGGTTGAAGTAATGCTATATACTATATTGTCTCAATATGTTTCAGAAAGACTATAACACATTTTTTCTGTATTTTACATATCTTATTTAAAAGCTAAACTCCAATCGTTAAGTGAATCCTGCTGGAGCAAACAGAGAAGTCATGAACAGATGTGCATACATATTAACTCCTCGAAGCAATGTGCAGACATCACTTGTTTGTATGTTTGTGAATATTTGTTTAATTCTCTGGTTTTAACCCACAACATAAAAATAGTACCCATGAGACAATCAGTAAGTAGGGGATCGGAATGGTAGAAACCCCTCTCATGGAAAAAGATAAACATGTGCTCACATTATATTTACCATGGTCACTGCAGTCAAATACTCTGCCTTCACTCAATCAGGCCTGTGTCAAAACCAAACTTGAAACATCAAACCCGCTAGAAAACCATTTTGGTAAGAAAACAAAATGTATGCATTTATACTTTTATATGTGTAAACTGGAACTCTAGTGTAGCTATTCTCGATATTTTGAAATGGTTTCATTAGGAAGTATGTATGCTTTGTGCATGAAGTTTATGTCTCAGGCATTGACACGTAAAAGTTTGTGGCTTCGTAAAATTCCCGTCGTCCAGCCCTGACTGCCTCATAAACGAGCAAGGGCCTGGCTGTGATAGAAAATGCAAATCCTCAGTACTTTCCTGCCCATTTTCTCACCAATGTAGACTTCAACTTTTATATTTTTTCATGTAATTGTACTGTGTCCGTTGAGAAAAGTTATCACCACTTGTTGAATCTGAAGAAATAGTCTCCCTAGTCTTCTGAGCTGAACTCTTTGCCTTGAATTTAAGTGGCTCAACAAATCCCTTCAAAAGTCAATGTTTTGTTTGACCTCTTTTTTTGGACGTGTGTTACTGAGAGAACTTTCCTGAAGTCGCTCACTGATCACAGAGTCAGGTTCAAACACTTGGTATTTGGAAGAAGCTGTCCTTGCCTGAGCTGGCACCGTGGCTGCATAGTTCCTGACTTAGCCTTGTACAACAAGAGTGATAAAATATGACTCTGATCTCACAGTGATCAGAACTCTTCAGGAGTGAATGTGCTGTGTATACGACAATGATTTCATTTAATTGGATTTAAGATGAACTATTCTTCCAACTCCCATTTCTCTTTAAAAACACAGCTATTAAGAAGCAAACTTCCAGAGAAACACCATTTCTCCTTCCCAAAATGAAGTGGAACATATTCTCCCATAGCAAATGCCAAAAGCCCATCTGTAACAAATTATTCCCTGGGATTAGAAAATAATTGTGGCAGAATTCATGCCAAACAATATAGAATTCCTTGTCTCCAAAATTACCCCTTCAGTGCTGACGTCTTTTCCTTACCTCTCTTCATTACGTGAATATTCTCTCACAATAATACATGTGGCAGATGGGAGAATTTTTTTCAAAGTGCAATGCAAAGTAAGTACTTCCTTTGAAAAATATTCACAAATCTGTCATATATTTGGCAATATATGTGATTTCTAGTAGGAAATCAGAAAGGTGAAGTCATTTACTTTAGTCATAATTTAATAATAAAATACAAACAATGCTATCTGGATCAGTTTTTTTTCTCCAAACATTAAGATTGGAATTCTCAAAAACTTTAAGGACTGTGTGTTTTGCCATTAATAATTTTGAAGAATGACAAATATTTGTCACATAGTTATTTCAAAACACAACTAATTAGTATCAAGACTTGAGAGTTATAATCGAGTTTTTGCATTAATGTTTATGGTTCCCAAAGCAGCCAAAAACAGAATTTTAAGGGTGACAGAATATTATAAAAAGACACTGCTCAGAACCTAAGAATATATCAGAATACATTATGAATTTTCACAAGACACGAATACTTGGTGTTGAACATACAGATGGCTATCCAATTATTGATAAAACAAATTTTCATTGAGCATCTTCTGTGTATCTGCCACTGTTCTAAGTGTTGAATTTAGGGCGCGCACTGTAGTAAGTGGCCTCAGAGGATAAAGGCTTGAACCTCTGGGTCACTGACAGATTACCACGAGCTGGATGAACAATTGTTCTGGACTCACATTATTCTAGTCCCTTAATAGCTTTTGATTTTACACTTTTAACGTTTTTCAATTTCTCTTATTTTAAGCAAAATTTTTGGTGCCCCTCTTTTATAGTATAATTAACAATAAACTTCAGAGGTGTTTCAGTTCCGTTTCCCTCCCCCTGTCATGCACATCTGCTCATGAACTGTCTGTGGCAAAATTATCTCCATTTTCCTAGGACTTTTATAGCAGCAAGTCACCGATAACTCCAAAAGTAGCCCGTTCCACTGCAACATAACTCCAATAATGCAAATTGTATCTTAGTCAGGAAATAACTTTTACTTCATAACTAACCAAATTAACCCCTCTATCCCTACAAGCTATCCCACTACATGTTCCATCACCCCTATTGGCTGTTGGGGGACTGAATTTACATCCTTTTCAATCCCTTACAACTAAGCTTTACTCTGATTGAAGCCATTCTTCAGTGCACTTTACTGTTAAACAACGAGATGATTCCTGATTTAAAATAGATTGAAATATAACCTTAATTGCCTACATAAGTAAATATAAATTAGTGAACTTTCTACATAACTTATTTATAATGACTTTGTCTCCCTGTAATATAACAGTAATTGTAAATGAAATATTTCAACATATATTTCATGAGATGAAGAAATTCTATAAACATTACATAGTTATATAAATTTTAAAAGATTTTCAGGCAGAAAAATATGTTTTCTTTTAGTAAAAATACAATAAAGTATATAAACTTATTACCTTGCTTAATTCTAAAAATTGATTTTTTGCTGCCCTATGTGGTGGTAGCAGAGGCTACCCAATTTGCATAAGCAATACCCAACTTGGTTTAATAACACAGACGAATAGGTTGGGAGCTATAGGTTAAATGTCAGGAAGAATTTGGATGTAATTCTTATTTGTGTGAACATGCCTGAATAATTTTGCACTCCTTCACATTCATCTCAGTGAAGAATGCAAAGGAAATCCCTCCCATTTGTATTTTGACATATGATAGATAATTATACACGGAGTGGCTCACTCCCGTGGC